CTGTAATTCATTTCTCTCCTTGTTTATTTTCCCATTCCCCTCACAACCTCTTATATATAATTTTGTATAACAATGAGGGTCTCCCTCCATTACCATGCAATTTCCCTTTTCTCTCCCTTTCCCTCCCACCTCATGTATCTGTTTAATGTTAATCATTTCTTCCTGCTCTTCCTCCCTGCTCTGTTCTTAGTTGCTCTCATTATATCAAAGAAGACATTTGGTATTTGTCTTTTAGGGATTGGCTAGCTTCACTAAGCATAATCTGCTCTAGTGCCATCCATTTCCCTGCAAATTCCATGATTTTGTCATTTTTTAGTGCTGCGTAATACTCCATGGTGTATAAATGCCACATTTTTTTTATCCATTCATCTATTGAAGGGCATCTGGGTTGGTTCCACAGTCTAGCAATTGTGAATTGTGCTGCTTTAAACATCGATGTAGCAGTATCCCTGTAGTACGCTCTTTTAAGGTCTTCAGGGAATAGTCCGAGAAGGGCAATAGCTGGGTCAAATGGTGGTTCCATTCCCAGCTTTCCCAAGAATCTCCATACTGCTTTCCAAATTGGCTGCACCAGTTTGCAGTCCCACCAGCAATGTACAAGAGTACCCTTTTCCCCACATCCTCTCCAGCACTTGTTGTTGTTTGACTTCATAATGGCTGCCAATCTTACTGGAGTGAGATGGTGTCTTAGGGTGGTTTTGATTTGCATTTCTCTGACTGCTAGAGATGGTGAGCATTTTTTCATGTACTTGTTGATTGATTATATGTCCTCCTCTGAGAAGTGTCTGTTCAGGTCTTTGGCCCATTTGTTGATTGGGTTATTTGTTTTCTTATTGTTTAATTTTTTGAGTTCTTTGTATACTCTGGATATTAGGGCTCTATCTGAAGTGTGAGGAGTAAAAATTTGTTCCCATGATGTAGGCTCCCTATTTACCTCTCTTATTGTTTCTCTTGTTGAGAAAAAACTTTTCAGTTTAAGTAAGTCCCATTTTTGATTCTTGTTATTAACTTTTGTGCTATGGGTGTCCTATTAAGGAATTTGGAGCCCGACCCCACAATATGTAGATCGGAGCCAACTTTTTCTTCTATCAGGCGCAGAGTCTCTGTGATATCTAGCTCCTTGATCCACTTTGAGTTAACTTTTGTGCATGGCGAGAGGAGGGGATTCAGTTTCATTTTGTTGCATATGGATTTCCAGTTTTCCAAACACCATTTGTTGAAGATGCTATCCTTCCTCCATTGCATGCTTTTAGCTCCTTTATCAAATATAAGATAGTTGTAGCTTTGTGGATTAGTCTCTGTGTCCTCTATTCTGTACCATTGGTCCACCCGCCTGTTTTGGTACCAGTACCATGCTGTTTTTGTTACTATTGCTCTGTAATATAGTTTTAAATCTGGTATCGCTATACCGCCTGATTCACACTTCCTGCTTAGAATTGCTTTTGCTATTCTGGGTCTTTTATTTTTCCATATGAATTTCATGATTGCTTTCTCTATTTCTACAAGAAATGCCATTGGGATTTTGATTGGCATTGCATTAAACCTATAGAGAACTTTTGGTAATATCGCCATTTTGATGATGTTAGTTCTGCCTATCCATGAACAGGGTATATTTTTCCATCTTCTAAGATCTTCTTCTACTTCTCTTTTTAGGGTTTTGTAGTTTTCATTGTATAAATCTTTCACCTCTTTTGTTAGGTTGATTCCCAAGTATTTTATTTTTTTTGAGGATATTGTGAATGGAGTGTTTTTCCTCATTTCCGTTTCAGAAGTTTTGTCGCTGATATACAGAAATGCCTTTGATTTATGCGTGTTGATTTTATATCCTGCCACTTTGCTGAATTTATTTATTAGTTCTAGTAGTTTTTTTGTAGACCCTTTTGGGTCTTCTAGGTATAGAATCATTTGCATTTCTTGTCACATGGAACATACAGTATGTCTTTTTCCCTCTGAAGACTTTCATTTAACACAATGATTTGAAGTGTCTCTGTTGCATATATTTGTTTGTGACCTAGCCCTTTGTATCCACACGCTACATTCTAAACCTGAGTTGAACCACGTTTTGTTGATCTCTTCACCTCTTGGTGGACATTTGTTTTGTTTGGGTTTGTTTTGAGCACTTACAAATAAGGGTGCTGTGGAAACTCAAGCGCCTTCCTGCCTTGGCTGTTTTCTCAAATGCCAAGTGCCATATTTTGAGGAACTATGTCTTGAACTCCATATGTATATACTTTATCAATCAAGCAATTAAAGATTACTATTTAGATCTTTATTGCCTTCTTAATATTTTTCATCAAAAAGGGGGGTGATGTGGAAGAAGAAATGGATGGAGCAAGGAAGAAAAAAAATAAGAACTTACCAGTTCTGGGTGGCTATATGTAACCTAGGGTAACATTGGTAAGGAATCTGTATTTATTTGCAGGTCAGAGGAAAGGTAGAGAGTTTCAAAGTGAAAGAACTGAAGAAGGTGTATGTGTGTGCTTCTTAATTTTATAATTATTATGTTTTAAAATTTAGAATAAAAACAATAATTTCTTTGTTTGCAGTTAATTTGGACCAGGAAAAATTAGCAGATACATTTTAGGAACTCTATTCACTGACAAAAACAATCAATTTCTTGTGGATGATTTTGTTATGATCCAATAAAGACATTAATGCATAATAATTTTATTATAAAATGATACAACATTTACATTATATATATTTGGACTTCTTTATCATATGGCACACAAACAATTGTTCAAAAGATACTAATTATTTAATCTACACATTTCTTTTTTTAATTTTTAATCTACACATTTCTTAGCAATGATTTGCAACAACATATGTAATCAAAGTAGAACTAAATTCCCAACTTCATAATATGAACGTTAGGCCCATCTCAGATCTTCTTATGTATTTTATTATTTATTGTATTTAGAAATGCAGTTATTTAAAATACAACGGAACTACTATTTCTTCTCCTGTATTTTCTGTACAGTAATTTACTTTTAAAGTAATGAATTTCATTCCCCATTTCTTCTGTTTTATTGTTCAGAAATGTTTATTTAAGAAACATTTCTGTTTTGAAATGTTTACATAAAAAAATATTTTGAATGATAAATTTTAAATCCATAAGGGTATGAAAAATAACCAAAATATGACAAATGAAAGATAAAACTGATGCATAAAACTGATGCTACTATAAAGATGTCTTTGTTTTTGACGAGTCTGAATCATTTGAGATTTCTGAAATTGCTGATTGGTATTCTCAGGGAATTCAAAGTCCATTTCAAAATGGACCTGGAGAGCAGGTCTCATCTGTATTGTATCCAACTGTACTTTGATGTTCAAAACTGAGAATAGCAAAGTCAAAATAAAGCACATGAGGGTTTTTCCATTTTTTACTTTAGAATAAATTGTTCTAATAGAAATTATGAAGGCTTTTTGGTTACTTAAATGAGTTCATTTCGAAATCTCAAAGTTTTTAAAATCTAACATAATGCTTAAGGTAAAAAGGGCATCAAAGGAATTTCAGGGAAAGGCGGATTCTCTGTATACCCTAAAAATACTGCATGAAATCATGAATAATAAACGTAAATAAGCAGGTTCTCAGCAGAAAAGTTTGCCTAAATTCTTTAGATGTTAGTCTAACGAGTGAAAGACAAACTCACTTCAGGAAATATTGATTGTCTCAGTAAATGTTGTTTCTGACCATCATCCACAGGATAATGTAGACAGACAGCCCTCACGGAAGTTGCATGTTTGATACACAGCAAGAAGAGGGGTATTTCTATTACTGAGAAATATCTCAGACCACCAAGTGAGCAGGCAGAATGAACATCAACAGCCAAGTCAGAGGTTCAAATCCTTGTCCACAATTAGCAGTTGGGAAATTACATAACCACTCTCAGTATCTCTCTGTAAACAGGGATAATGACATGACCTGCTTCTGAGGGTCTGAGAGAAAACGACAAGAATCAAAACAGGTAAAGTGCTTAGAATTGCCCCAGCATAGGATAACTAAGACGTAAATTTTATTAGATAACTTCCTTAAAAACTAGCAAACAATACAAATGTTTGCAAGGACACCAGGAAGCATGAAACCCACACAGAGAGTAATGCAACATTAGAGGACTACAGTACTTGCATGAATTTATAAATACTTCACATCACTTGAACATACCTTTAAATATTAATAAATAATACTGATACTTCACATTCCATACTGAAAGGTTGGAAACATTTTCCTGAGAAAATGTTGAGAGTTATACACAGTGGATGATGAAGGTCTTAAAGAGAATTCCCCTTTAGGGTAACTAAGTCTCTCCTTACTCGTTTAATTGCAGTGTATTGTATTTTCCTGAGCATCAGTATGTTTGCATGAGTGCAGCCATGATTCTCAACTTCTGTGGGCAGGATGGGTTAGGAAATTAGCTTAGAAGAATCTACTCTTTCCTTTGTCCATAATTCAGTAGGAAACAACTCGCTCTTTAACAATAGGTTAGGAGATAAACTTATGTCATAGTAAGATATTTTTTATTAGCTAAGTCAACTTTAAATAGACTATTTATTCATACATCTATTCACTCTGCTTACACACATAAAAACCACTATCAAAAGGTCAAAACTGACAAATTTGAAAGAGTTCCTTTAGCAAAAATCTGGAAACAAGATCCAGATTTTCTCTTTGTTTTTAGGTTTAAACAGAATTCATCTTCCATCCAAGAAAATATGATTTTCCACCTCGGGCACTGTGCTGAAGAGTTTCAGAAATGAGATTCTGCCCTAGAGGGACTTGGACTCTTTGTTTATTTACCAAGTTTTGAAGAAAGAGTTCCTTCTTCAAGTATATGTGTGCATGATTTTCTGGAATATCATCTTCTGCCAAAGCAACCGATATATAATAAATCCCATTTAAATACTTGCATTATGCTATTTTAACAGGAATGTTTAGACACCGTGTTGAGGAAAGAATGAGATCCACATTGTCCTTCTTAACTGGATCTCTATCCAGAAGTTCATTTCCGTAGTCTAATCAACATCACATAAGGGGAAGTGCCTTCAGTCTTCATTTCACTGGAGAAAAGACCAAAGTATCAAAGGAGTATCAAAGGAGAGCACATGAAACCCGAGTGATCCAATGGCTGCACCACCACCACTCCCACCTCCACTCCCACCAAGTTGCCAAGTCTGAACTACATTGATCCAAGAGATGGTCATCACGGATCTGTTCTAGTCAACTCTCCCAAGATACAGTAGAATCACATTGTGAAAGCACTTGACTTATGCAAATTCAGCTAGGTTTGATAGGACAAGAGTAAGAGAGTGAAGGGAAGCCAGAGAGTCAGAGCCTGTGTCTGCCTTTCCACTCAGGAGAGATGCGCACCACAGTTAGGTGGAGGTTAGAAAACACAAACCAAGCGTTCCCTCAGAATGTTGCAGTTCTGGGGGCTTCTCTCCTCACTGTGCAATTCTAGTATTTAAAATTTAAAAAGTAGATCTTTAACTATCTGAAACTAAGAAATCGACCAATAAAACCATTTTATCTGACACACTCCTTCTGTAGCAGCTAGATTTGAGGCATTAGATACTGGAGTGGCTACAGTATGGTTGCAACCAGTTGTTTCTCCTCTATTTCACTCTAGCTTTATTCTCTTCAAGGGCAAAGCTGTTGAGAGCTGCCATGATACTTAGCCCCCCTTGGGAAATGCTATCTGCTTGGAAGAGACCAGCACACTGATCAGCCTCCCTTCCTTTGGAAGGTCATACTTGCCCTCCTGTTCCAAAGCTGTCACCTCTTTCCCTACACTGAAGTGACTAATAATCTCCCTGCTTCTGAAATGTGGGCATCTTGTCTCTTCCTTGAATACCTCTGGGGTTTAATTTCTTCTTTTTTGGAAGTTGCATTGCTAGTGGCCAAAAAGATGAGAATTTGGCACCTGGAGGCCCAAAGATTTTAGAGGACTTGATTCATAATGGTTTCATCTCCAGTCTCTAATTATATCCATCATTAGCAAAGTGAAACATTGTTGCAGGAAGTTTTAAAGGGAGAGATGAATCTGTCTGAATTCCTAGACTGATGCTAATCACAGCGAGTATGATTTTCCACCTCGGGCACTGTGCTGAAGAGTTTCAGAAATGAGATTCTGCCCTAGAGGGAACGGACTGGGAAATTCAAAAGCTACTCAAACAGGAAGTTTTTAATCACTTTTAAAAAATGATACATGTAATTACAGGCTATGTTTTCTTTTAAGTGATCATCTCTTAGAGATTATGGAAATGAGATTTGAGCCAGATTCACATTCAAATTCAGGCAACAACAACACAAATTAAGCATTTAGACATGACTTAGATGGTTTCAACCATCATTTCCTTGGCTTTCATGGATCATTGTCATTACTGGAGATTATTCATTGCCCTTGAAGGGAGTGAAGCTAGAGTGAAATAGAGGAGAAATACTGGAGATTATTCATAGGTAGTTGTTGGAGATACTTATTTTTTAAGCAATAAAAAACAACAACAAAAAATAAATATACCAATAGTTAGACCTGCCCTGGTGATATTTGCCATCTAATAATTTGAGAGACGATATGGAAATTTCAATAAGTATGAACAATTCATGATTAAAATGTCCACTAATGTTATAAAAAATGAACAACAGGGAGTGAAGGACATTGTAGGAGATGATCTGTAATGCTTGGAGAAAATACCAAAGTCGAGATCAGGCTTGTTGGAAGTAAGAAAGCGGGGAGAGGGTACCTAAATGTATTCATTCATTTATTCAGAAAATAATTATATGGTAGGCTTCAAAGATTCAGTGATGAACAAGATTAACACAGTTCTGAATAGGAAGAGAGAAACAGAGAGTAAACAAAAGATTACATAAGTATTAGACTGCAGTCTTTCTCAAGGGGGTTAAAAATCAATCGTGTTTAACAGCAGTTGTGAAGATGGGGCTGAGGAAAGAAAGACCTTACCTGGTAGACACAGCCTTACATACTTTTGTCCTAGGAGTTTCAGACCAAAGTGCCACCTTGGTTTTTAGTTCTTTATTCTAAAATTGAAAAAAAAAAAAAAAGTGCTGAGATCAGATAGTTAACCCACCTATTCGATATATCCCAATGCTTCTGTTCACCCTGCCACACACACCTGCCTCATTCCTTGGCAGTAAGTTTGTTGCAATTATTCTATTAGAACACAGGAACGAACCATTTGAAGGTCATTAACTTTTATCTCCAAAGATACAAATATGCCCTGAAAAGTGCATAATACTCTTTTAAGGGATCAACATATAGTATTCTGACTTAGCCTCGGATTTGCAACAGCTGAATTATCTATGTTTGAATTTACAGATTCTTTTATACAGACAAATAAATAAAAACTTTCTTAAAGGACCTTATTAAAGATACACACAACATTGCTACAAAACTGAACAAAAGCTCTTGATTGTATTTTTTTAACTTCTCTGACTCTCAGTTTTATCACGTGAGAACAGGTGCCATCTCTTCTTCACTATGCCATTCAAGGCACCCTTAGCCTCAGTGGCTCCTGGAGGCTTCAGATTGCTCATCTGTATACTAGTGGTAAGTGATACATGTCCAGCCTGTATACATTTTTTTTGTATACATTTTTTTTTCAAAGAAACAAATACTGTATGATGATAATATTTCAATTCTGGAAGTGTTCTCATAATTCTAGGAGGTAACGGAATGGCTAATAACAGTGTTAGCTGTTCTCAGGTACAAATCCTAGCACAGCCTCTCACTAGCTGTGTAACCTGATTTAGGTTACTTAACCTCTTTCTGCCTAATTTCCTCACCTGCATAATACATATAAAAATAGCCTCTTCATCACAGGTTTGAAATGAGATTAGTTCAGTACCTAGCATGAATTTTAAGGCTTAAAGGTCTGAAGTTGGTTATAGTTTTCTAGTCTAACTACCACTTTTTTTATATAACAAAAAAAAATGAGTTCTAAAACTTTGGTTTTCTGAGCTAGGTGCAGTAACATGCTTGTAATCCCATGCAGTGACTCTGGAGGCTGAGGCAGGAGGATCCCAAGTTCAAGGCTAGCCTCAGCAACTTGGCAAGACCCTGTCTAAACAAACAAATAAGGCAAGGTATATATATCAGTGGTACAGTGCCCCTGGCTCAGTCCACAGTACTTAAAAAAAATAAAATAAAATAAATAAAAATAAAAACCTTTAAATGCCCAAATTCTATTCATGGCAAAGTTCAGGGTCAAGATGGGTCTTCCCAATCCAGAGCCAGTGATTTCTCCACAACAATACAAAACTGAGAAATTTCACTGAACAGATCTGGAGAGTGAGAGTCAAAAGAGTGAAAGTGAATGGCCAGGAGTGAGTTGCCAGTCTCTGCACTGCCAGCTGAGCATCTTGAAACCCAGGCTAAGTGCCTCAACCTCCTCCTGCCTCAGCCTCCCAAGATGCTGAGATTACAGGACGGTGCCCCCACAAATTCATGTGGGGAAAGCATGTGAAAATTACACTAGAAGTAAAATAAAAGCCATTCAAGGAAGCATACAACAGTAGGCATTTAATGACTACAGAAAAGAAGTAAATAGAAACTGGTGTGACTAGAATAATTTGGAACATTTTCATACACAGAATCTTAACTTGGACTTTAATAACAAAATGAAAAGGGTGAGGAGGGAAAGAGAATGACTTCTGATGATTCCTAGAGTGTGATCCTGGGAACATCAATTTCAACATCACCTAGGAACCTGTTAAGACAGATCCTCAGACCTCAAGAGACCTGCTGAATCAGAAACCCAGGCACCTGCTAATATGTGTTCATACGCTCCCCAGGTGCTTCTGGGGTCAGCTCAAGTGTGGGAAACACTGGACTGAGAGGGGTTTTCAGTCTTGGTTATGTCCTGGAATTGCCAGGAGGGCATTAAAATCAATGGGAGCCCAAGTTGCACCCTGAGATTCTGCTTCATTTAGTTGCTGTCTGGGCTCAGGAATTTTTCAAATTCCACAGGTGATTCTAAAGTGCAACTGAAATAAAAAAAAAAACAGTGAAAGAAGGAATCGATGTAAGTTGTGAATTTTGCCCCTTCTCAGTCCTCAAGTGAGAACGACATACGTGGATATATTGAGTAATAACTAAAAGATAGAGACAACATCACTGGATACATAAATCATTTCAAGAGTTAAGCATTTAAGTCTCATCCAGGAAATATACTTCAGATTTGATAAATTGATAATAAGGACGCACCTCATGTATTGGAGATAAATCTAACATACCCTCCAAACAAGGGCAGGCATATCATAGGCCCAGTGTGTGGCTGAGGGAAACCCCCCTCTATTCAAGTTATGAAGCAATTGGAAACACAATATTGTGATGACAGCCAGAAATGGAAAATACTTCTGTGGCTAGACAATTATGTAGAAGCTAATTGGATTTTTTCCAAAATAAACTCCCACTTTCTCAAGTTCCAAACAACATAAAATCATGTGTTATCATATCTGTCTTTAATTTATTTCAGTTTCCATGTTGACTTGTTTCACCTATCAGATTAAGGCATTTATTATTGATTCATAGCTGTTTCTACTTTTTCCTTTAAGTAAGACAGAGATTTATTAAATCATTTGTTTATAAAACTACAAATCACTGGCCAGAATTTGTCTGTCATTGTTATGACTTTATCCTAGGAAAGTTTACTAAACAGGGTTCCTAAAGAACATAATTTTTGCACACTTAATCTCCCATAAGAACAGATCATTAGTAAAAGAAGTTAGAAATGCATGAAATGTAAGATGAATGTCAGCACTGTAAATCAAGATGATGAAAGACATGGAAAAGTAGAAAGAAGGCAAATAATTTAGGTAGAGCTAAGTATTTTCTGATGATATTTAAAAGAGGTTTAAAAGACTTTTCTAAGTATTTAAAAGTTTTTCTAAGGAACTTGATATGAGTCAATTTTATTTTCTATTTGGAGGGAGTTACAAAAATAAAACTGCTAAAATAGAAAAAATTACTTCCATGTCATGAAAATAAGAATAAAATAGAAAATATTTAATACAGTAACTGTGACAATGGATAAAATAATGGTTATCCCAATTTAATGTTATAACTACTCATTTCAAAATATATATTAAATAACCACTTCCATTATATTTCACACATGATACACATGTATTTATACACACACATGCACACATGCTCATTTGATAAGAGGATATTGTGTGAAAAGGAGTCATATGCTTTAAAGTCAAGTAGACTAAAATGCAGATTCTGCCACCTGCTAGCTAAGTGATTTTGAACAAGTTTTTTTTTTTTTTTTAAACTTCTCTGAATCTCAGGTTTTATCACTTAGAAAATGTATCTTTTCCTGCACTTACTATTAGACCAAAAGGCCAATTGGATCAATAATGTACAGTGTGTAGGATAAATTACCATTTTACTTAAGACAATAAAATCTGCTTTGGGGATGATATGAACAGACACAACTGAAGATCATAAAATTGGATTAGAAGCAGGAGCACCACAGATTCATTGACTCTGTGAGAAGACTTGGCACTTAATTAGGTATGACCAGAGCCCAGGACCATAATGAAGTGAAAGATCAGAGAAAGATACCAGATCTAAAATAATCCCTCCAATTAAAATTGATCACAGATGCACAATAATTAAAGCAGTAGTTTATTGGAGCCAAAATAGGCTGGTAGGCCACTGAACAGTTTCCAACCTAAGAATGTAGTCTAGAATTCGTGGGTGTTTCAATTTCATTCACTGGTCATAAACTCCAGAGTGCGGGTCTCATGATTTCTCTATTTCAACACTGTTTTTCTGAATTCAGTGCCTAGGTAAGAGTAGTCACTCAATACCTGTAGAACTAATTACACCATTAGTGATGTGCACAAATGAATGAAATGAGTAAAAGTTCAATTACTTTCAATATAGTAGATATAGTGAGCCAGATATACTCCACACTTTATGTGCACGGAATCCTACAGAAATAAGATGCAATCATGGTGCTCCCTCCTGGTCTATCCTGAGGAGGAGAAAAGTTCCCAAAGATGCTGCAGGTTTCCAGTGGAATTCAGAGCATCTCTGTCTTCCACAGGGCAGGACGATATTGGCAGATGGTATATCCATCAGGAAATCAAAATACTGAAGGATAAAGTTGGAAAAGTACGTGGGTTCAGGCAGTTGGAAATGAGCCCTTGATGCAGACAAAGAGGTGACACAGTGGAGGTGGAGGTGCCCGTGGGTCTTGTGCCTGTGCTCCAACCTGGGTGGGGCTTGGCTGCACTACCTCTGGGATAGGGCCACCACCTGCCCAGGATTGTCACTGAATGCCAGAAAAGGGATGGAGAGGAGGGGCCAGTGGAGTGGAGGGGAAGAAAAGCATGTCTTATCACAGGAAATCAGAAAGTATTGTGCTGGGCTTTCCAACAGGCAAAAGTGGATAATTGCAACAGGTTTCTGGAAGTGGGTGAGCGCTGAGGCAAAGCTTGAGAACCAGGATGAGTAGGGACGAAGAGAGAGGAGAAAGGAGGACATTTCAGGCTGGGAAAGAAACCTGTGTGGGAACAAAGGCAGGCGACAGGAAGCCTGGCCATCTGGCTAGAGTGGAATTTACATAAGAGGGGCCTTGAACAAACTTCAGATCCAAGGCCATGTGGAAAGGTCATCATCTGTCTTGCCAGTACATCAAGTATAATGGAAAATGTGGATGCTTAACAATTACTTAATATATAATAATGTTATTATCAATTTAATAATTCAATTAAATGGTTTAAATACTTACTAGTAATTTAATAATGATTATTATAAATATTCCTCCCAAAGATGTAATTTCTTATGCATAGAACATTCATATGCATATGCTCAGAAGAAGACACCTGTATGTACACACAAGCACACACACTGACACGTGGACACTCACACAGTCACAAGCAACCACACACACACACACACACACTCAGATATAGTGTCACAGAGACATGCAGTCATGCACAAGCCCATACACACACACTCACACACAAGCTCAATGAAACACACAAACACATGCACTCTCAGGCTGAATTGTACCACGGATTCCCTTCTTACCTGGGCTTCAAGGATGTTGACTTTTTCTTTCAGATTTTCTATTCTTTTATCTTGTTCTTTTAAATTGTTTTTTAATCCTTCCATCTAAGAATTAGGGGGCACAATTGGAAAAATCTTGTCAGACCACAGGGTCAGAAATCATATGACTTTCTGAGGTCAAATGGCACTCATCAAATAAAAGCATGACATCTCCCAGTATTAACAGACTCAGCAAGCTACAGAAAATCGCAAGCCAAAGTAGCACCTGGAGAGGAAAGTCCTCAGATGGTGCTGTTATACATTTTAACTTCTGCGGAACCTATTCACACCAAATTGAGCAGGAGCCCATCCTGTGGAAAGGAGCACTGGTCTCCCCAGGGGTCTCAGCAACCTCATGACCTCCTCCTGCAGATGCACCTGCTGATAGACTGAAGGTGAGGCCCACGGGGAGTGCAGAGGCTCCCCAAGGGATAGCTTGTCAAGCAGTGGCAGGAAGATGTGACCTGCTTTGCCAAGAGGCCATGCAGAATCAGGACATGGGGTGGTGAGGTACAGAACAGCACCCAAGAAAGGGCACAGTGGATTCTGAAGCCAACTCTGTTACCATCAGCTCTACCACTGAACCATTATGAGCCTTGGTCTTCTCATCTGTAAAATGTGAGTGTGAGATGCCCCCAAGATCCCTCTCAAATCCCACTACTCAACTTTCTGGCCTTTGGGTGAAGCCATGCCAAATGAATACAAGTGCTAACCTGTGTCACGAAAGCACTGGGATTATTTAAGAGGACTCCTTCTGGAAACAAATGCTATATATAAAAACATGAAATAGAAGTCCAATTTTATATACACATCTTGAAGTCTGTCTTATACAGTCCACCATCACCTGTTGCTAACACTATTACTTATTCTTTTTCTCCTGCCAGGGTATTCCTAGAGAATAGGCTAGTTCCTACCCTAAAACACATTCTAAATGAATTTATAATTATAAGGTTATTAAAAAAGATAACTTCTTATTTTTTAAAAATATTTTGTTTATTTGATTGTAGTTGGATACAATACCTTTATTTTATTTTTATGTGGCGCTGAGGATCGAACCCAGGGCCTCACACATGCTAGGCAATCGCTCTACCGCTGAGCCACAATCCCAGCCCCAACTTCTTATTTTTGAAAAGTATGAGTAATTTACAAAATCTTCTGAATAACAGTGCATGGCATCTGACTCAGAACACCTACACAAACATCAATGGAACACCTAAAAAGCAGTTAAACCACAATTTCCCAATGGTCCTTTTTGAGAACATGGCAGGTGCTGGTGTTACTGAAGACACTCAGAACTGAGCCATGTTGCATGAGAAAGCAAAAACATACATCACTGGGGAGAAGAGCCCCATGGCAAGCTACCCGTATTTGGCCTTCAGGCTGTAAACATACCATCTACCAGAGAAATGCACTCGATTAGCCTGACCTCCTGGATGATGCTGCGCAGGTTCTGATGCTGAGAGTGAATCACAAACTGCAAATGAGAGATCTGCTCCTGGAGAATGGAAATCTCTGTTTGAAGATCCTGGCAACTGAGAATGCAGAGGGGAAAAAAGAGAGAAAGCTTTGAAAACAGGCTGTGCAGGTCTTTCCCCTGCCTGTAGGGCTAGGCCTCCTTACACACCCCATGCAATGGAGCACTAGACCACACAGATCACACTGAGGATGAACAGCCAGGAAGCAGCCCCTGTGATGTGCCTATTTATGAACTTGAATGGGAATGCCAATTACAAAGTTTCTCCAAGAGACAGCTGGGTCAAGTTGTATTTGGCCAAGTGAAGCACTTAACATTTCTAAACTGTCTTGTATATGAGCACCCACGGACCTGGCACCCAACAAAATTCACAGCTCATTACATAAAAGGGGCAGAACATGTGAGCAAGAATGGACACTTTATCTGATATATCTCAGAAACAGATTTCCAAAGAAATAGGTTTAGTATATGTTATGGGTTGTCTGTCCTCCCCTCACTTCTTCCCTCTCTTCCTTTCTCTTCTGGGTTTTCTACTTGTGATATTCTACCTGTAGGTAGGGAAAGGGGAAAGAAAAAGAAGTAAATTAAATTTCAGCTAACACTTTTGAGTCCACACAAACCACGGTAAAAAAAAAAAATATATATATATATATATATATGAGTTAGGTTTGAACTTAGATTGCTCATACTTTTCCAAAGCTCCACTTGGGGTACTGGAATTGATTACCCAACTTTTGCTTCTTTCTCTTCTTCCAATATTAGTTATAAAGCCACATTCATCCCGGCAAGACCACCAAGGTTGGGAGACTGGGAAGCTGAGAAGCCACTCACACTTTCTAAGTCTCTGTGCAACAGTTGCAATAATCTCTGCCTTTGCTACTTTATGAGATTAATCCATAGACTTGAAGAATAAAGTTATTATGCTTTCTGAAAGTAATGAGCTTTTCACATAGTAATATATTGATATTATTTCAGCCTTTTCAAAGTTTTGCAATGAGTAACCCTCATCCAATGCAATCACAATTCTGGATTTTTATAGCCTCTACATGTAAAGATCATGGAAATTCATAGAACACCATAGAACATGATCTCTTTAGGGAATGATCTCCACTTGTTTCATATCATATATTAAGGCATTGTTTCTCAAATTTAACAGGCATCAGGGATCTTGTTAAATCTAGATTCCAACTTAGTATGCAGGTGTAGGGCTTGAATTTCTGCATATACAACTGGGTGTTCCATCATGTTGCTGGTCTATAGATTATGCTTTGAGTAGTGATGCATTAGACCACTAAAGGAGGCTCGGTAACTTTTTGTATATAAGATAGTCTTTCAAAACCGTGTGACTTACTATCAAGCAACTTGCAAAATTTAGGAAATTCTTTTTAACTCTCTTTCTCTCTTGGTTTTGCACGAGAGGACTTTAGAAAAGTTTAGTTGACTGTACAAAACATTAATTTCCATAAAGCTACACTAATCCTTGCATATGCAAATAACATAATGATGACTATTACAATATATTTATCATATGGAATTAAATAATTTATCCTACCAAAGTGCTGTATAATTATGCAAAATAAATGTCACAAAATACATGTAAAATGAGGTTCATTGTTGTTCATAATATAAAACAAAAGGGAAGGTTCTAAATGCTCATCAATAAAGACTGAAAAAATGAAGCAAGGTCTATCTATGCCATTCAGATAGCCAATATATATATGAAGATGCTAAATATCATTGATATTCAGTGCAGCACAAATGGCAGCCACACATACACCTATACACAACCAAATTAGCTAAAATTTAGTAAGACTCAGAATACTGAATCTTGGCAAAGATTTGGAGCAACAGGAATTTTAACCACTGCCACTGGAAATTAAATTAATATAATCATTTTAGAAAACATTTTCTTCTGAAGTTAGCCAATGATTCATAATTCCATTTCTAACTATATTCCAAAATGTGCACTATGAGACAGATAAAAAAATGTTTATGGAAACTTTATGCATGTTGAAACCTGGAAACAAACCTGCGATATTCATTGACAGGAGAATGGATAAGCAACTGTTGCTTTTTCACACATAAACCATGAATGACAGACACTAACAACATGACTGATGCTCAAAAACCACCCGGAGCAAAAGAAGACCCAGCGTGCCACTCATCAGAAGGTAAAAATGAAAAACTTAGTCAAGGCAGCTGTTATGCTAAGGGATACATAAAGAAAAGCAGGGACATGATACAGGACAGTCCAGAGCAGGGCCACTTCAGGAAGTCACAATTGTTCACCCACATGTTTGCTTTTAAATAGTCCATTAAACCATAGGTAGTATTAATGTTCTGTGCATGTTTCTGTATGTGTGTCTTACTTCACATGCATGTGTGTGTGTGTGTGTGTGTGTGTGTGTGTATCAATATTTGTTTAAACAGAAAAGAGATGCAGGGGATACAAGCCAACCAACTAATGCTAGTGAGCTTTTTATGTTTATGAATTTGGAAGAATTCCATTTGTCTTTGGAGATTATCATGCTATTTAATCTTCTCTTGCTGTTTTTTGTTCCTTTGTTTGCTGTACAGGGAATTGAACCCGTGGGCGTTCTAACACTGAGCTACATCCCCAGCCTTTTTTTTTTTTTTTTTGTAATTTTATTTTTTACCTAGAGACAGAGTTTCCCTAAGTTGATTATCATGCCTACACAATACAATCTGCCAGCTACGTCCTCCCTCCCCATCATGACTGACATGTTAAACAACTATCCAATTAAGAAAATTTATGAAGGAATAAAAGGGCAGATTGTTGACACAGGCTGAAGAAAGACTCCCAGTTCAATTGCGCCTTTGCACATGGTTCTTGTAACATGATCCTCTAAGGGACTCATCCCTCAGCAAAAACACATACTTGGACCTTTCCCTTGGACAGAGGAAATGTGAAATCGGAACCAAGTAAATGTGCAGTTCATTGTTTTCTTTCCACAATTTGTGAGGGGAAAGTGTTTGAAAAAAAGAAGCTGGATGCCTGATTCAGAGGAAAATGCTGTGTGCTCATATTCCTGGATCTGACCACGGAGGCAAGGCACAGCCCTTTCAGCATTTCTGAAATTCAAGTTCAAGGAATAGTTGCTGCAGCACCAGCCTGCACTGGATTCCAGATGCCCCTGAGTTCGAGGATCAGAGGCTTTCTTAAGAAGGAAAAAGGAGTCTGGGCAAATTTCAGATCCCCTAGCAGGTGAGGTTCAGGACCTGAGGAGGGGGCAGGGAACTTGGAGCCTCTAAGGAGAGTCCAGACTTCAGAGGTTTGCAGCATTTCAAAGAGAGTGAGAGTGAGAGGGGCCACAGCCCAGGGAATGAATCATTGGGGCAGGGATCATCAGGAGTCCTTTATCTAGGATTCATGCTCTGCCTCCCAATGTCTCAATAGAATTTTTGATGGATATTTTCCTCTGTCATGCAATAGAATAGAAAAAAGGAGTGAATGTTAAAATATAATTTAAAAACTTCAACTTCAGGGAAGCTTCTCAATTCTTTCGTGGTAAGTACAGCTAAAACCCCTGGACATTAGACATAAACAAGCATAAGAAGACTAACAACAATAAGAAGGTGGCAGACTGGCTTGGGATCCTAGGATCGAAGGGGGGAAAATGGTGAGTTCTCGGAATTTTCTCTTTACCTCCTAAATCTCAGAATTGAAGCTGGAAAAGTTGATGGTCCAGAATGTCAATGAGAGCAGACAAAAAGAGAAAAAGGGAAAAAAAAAAAGGAGGCCCTCCCCCCCCCTAACCCCCCCCCCCAAAAAAAGAAGAATACTGGCCCTTCCCTTTTAGGCAGGGAATTGAGGACTCCTTCCCAATTCATTACTGAGGGAAGATGAGGCAGGTACCTTTTCTGATTCTCTTTCTGTTAGGATTCTTTAGCTTTCAAGACAGAAATTCAATCTTGTTTTTAACTTGCAGAAATGTGAAAACAAATGCCCTTGCCTTTCTTTAGCCCCTGGGGTCCTAGGGTCAGTACTTGACAGGAAGTCCACCCTCGGTCTCTGTACTGCTCTGCAAAAGTATTGGTAGGAGGTATCCAAGTTCATGAAGAGCTGTCTCTCCATCTGTTCTTCAGGATGTTCTGTGGGCAGCTTCATTGGCCTTTGCTACATTGCCCTCTGTTCCATGCTGTTGCGATGGCTTTGATTGAATTGTTCTTTGGTGTCATGCTATTCTTTTCTAGAGGATGTTCTGAGGTGTGGCCTCAGGTGTTTTTCATGATGTAGTTGAAGATATTGTTCATGATTCTCTTTATGAGCATACCCTGGACAATTTTCTTTCAAGTTATATGAACATATTTTTAAAAAGTGAACTTCTCCCAAAGAATTGGTTAGTTTTGGTCATGTGGACATTGTGAGTCACAGAACTAATCATTAATTTCCTTTTTGGGTTGGTTTAAAAATGCACCAGTGGTCTACTGAGAGCAAGTCCACAGCATTCCACCATATGTATTTTGTAGATTAACCACATGAAATGCCTATTCTTGTATCTCTTTGGTCTCACCATCTATTTTATTTCCAATTTAAGTAATGATGATATGACTTTTATAGGTTTTAAATAAGCAATCTTGGATTTACTTAGAATCCAGGGCACATAAATATATAATTGTGAGTTCATCATTCCTGGTCACATTGACACAGTCCAAAAATACAATCTTTTTAGGTGTTCACAAAGTGCACCAGGGATTGATATACTCAGATGTTACAAGAATTAAAAGGAAAGAATGAAATTTTCCAAAAAAAATAAAAATAAAAGAAAGAAAAAGAAAAAACCCAAAGAGAAATAAAAGAAGGAAATGAAAATGGAAACTGAAACTACACAACTACACTGCATGCCCAAGATGCTACTTCTGGGCACAGCACACATTCCCCGGGCACTGGAAACACAACACTTCATAGAAGTGAGATTGGGAGAAAAGACAGTGGGTTGGTGGTATCTAAGAGGTTCTCCGAAGCCATGAAAGAATCTTCTGCAGCTACAGGGACTTAAAGATGGCCTGCTGTCTAGGATATAATGTTTCTCTGGATCTCTGTGAGTGTCCACATTACTGAGTGTGGGTCCCCAGGGAAGAAGGAATGAGTGAGAATAGACGAGGTTGGGTATTACCATCACTCAGCCAGACAAGAGGTAGAATCAGTATGGATGTAGAGGTAGCTTTGTTCACATTTCAATAAAACTCAGGAATATGTCTTTTTATTGCTCATCAAAATCCTTCCCATTGTTATTTCCAGTGATGGCACCAAAGGGATGGCTTTTAGAGAGCCCCCAAACTACCGCAGGCAAATACACACTTAAGTGGCAACCACAGTGTGCTTTGACATGCAGCCTCAGCTTGAGGTAACCATCTTTCCTTCTCTGAGGAGTTACGCATGCCTAAGCAACTCTTACCTAAATGGGCGAGCCCTTGCTGCTAATTTTTATAAATCCCAAATATGACTTTCACGTGAACTTGTGTATATGTCAGTGAGGTAGCAGGGAAATAGCTTTCTGCTAGCCATCGCACAGGAGGGAGGGGAAACCAGTATGGAATACTGGAGCCAAATCCTGTGAGCCAATCCCAGCCTGTGAGAGGCCAGATAGCTTGACAAGGTCCTTAATTATTAAAAGCCCAGATTACTCCTTGAAAGATCAATGGGAGGATTTAATTAGATATGGTACCTGGGGTTACTCTGTAAACTGTAAAGCACTATACATGTGTCTGTTAGTGGTAATGGTAGTGGCAATACAGTCAACCTTATGTTCAAGAAAACACATCTTTTAACTTTCCAGTTCTTCCTCAGGGCCATATTTATCCAACTTGAGCCTGTAGAAATCCCCTTTATTTGAGAGAGCTTAACCCAGTCTCTACTGCTCCAACCCAAAAGTGCTGGTTCATACTGATTTCACTCCGTTGTCACACAGCAACATGAATGCCTCTCCATTCAGTTCGGAGGAGATAATAAGGAAGACAGAATATGTGTGATGCTGCACACTATGAAAACCACATAAGCCAGATGTCCAAACACCTTTCTGGGAGCACAAAATATCCATTTCCTTCAAGAAATTTCTGAAATCTCTTTAAGAGCTTTGGGAGAATTCCTTATGACAATTGCTCATATATAACAGAACTGAAAAAAAATCATTTTTAAAGGATTATACTGTTGACTCAAAGACTGATAAAAATACCATTATTGGTTAAAAAGATCTCTTAAAGAAAAATATCAAACTCAGACTACCTAGACTCTTCATGGAACATACTGTATGAGCCAATAGTTCTGCTATGTGGACCCAAAGCTATATTTAAGGGGAATGAAGTAAGCCAAAGATGGACTTAGAGTTAAGTTATGGGTATTCTTAAGTAATTCTATCACATATGGAAGGATACTTTAAGTAATTTCACAATATAGGATGCTCTCTGCTATATTCTTTTCACTCTCTACCAGGATGCGCAGGGCTACACAACTGTTGTAGGAAACCACCTGCTGGGATTACACGCATGTCCAGAGGGAAGAACACAGGAAAATAGTGACTTACTGGTATCTCACCATATTTCAGGTATTTGTGCCTGATTGCCAGGTTCAGCCCATTTCCGGGTTTTAGCATATGTGGTAAAAAAAAATTTTGTGACTATGAGCCAGACATATAAGGAGAGATGAGAAGAGAGAAAGAGAAATCAGAAGGGAAAAGGAAGTAAGGGGAAAAGACCAACGATCAAGAAAGAGGATATGAGCGTGCATACTACCGAATAAATGAAAATCTGAATTTGCCCCCTGTGAGGCACCTAATAGTGCCTGATGACCCAGTGAGCGAGAGTTCTAGATGGATGGACTAAGATGTGGAAAGACAGTTGACTTTGAATGTGATCTATTTGCATCAGAACTACCATGGCTGTGGTGGGCTTAGAATAAAAAATGAGAACAGAAATGTCTGATGGTGTGAGTTATGACCCAACGTTCTAGAGGATTCTCCCAATGACAGCTGAGTAGGGCACCCCATGATGTCCACATATCCAGCCCACCCGAGGGTGCTGAGCACTGCAGCAGCTCGAGAGGTGTGACTATGAGTCGGTTCCAAGATGGCAGGATGTTTTCCATAGTACCTCCTTCATCCTCTCCTGAGCTGTGGAGCACCACAGAAGTACCCTAGAATTTGACCTGTGGGCTGGGTGGTTTGATGTGGGCTGCAGAAGAGACCCCTGAGCAGACAAAAGCATGGGGAATGACAGTGTCACCAGCATCCTTAACACCAAGAGCAAACAGGGAGGCTCCATCCAGGCTCACTCAACTCTTTAGAAGGATTAAACCCACACACACCACACCCCTCATTCCTCAGTGGGTGAGGAAAAGAAGCATAGGGCTGTTGTTCCTAAAAATTCATCCTTCTTCCCACTTCATTGGGGGTGAAAAGACTGTCCAAAGTGGAGCCTGCCAGTGGAGAGGAAAGATATCAGAAAGTACTTTGATTTAGCAGGTAGACTTGCAAACCTTTTAGCATATGCAGTGTTGGATTTGAGTTGCAGCAGCTTGGTTTCCAAAGACAGTTTTCTTTCTAGCAGTGATCTCTTTTCCTAGGGGAAAATAAGATACAAATTTTGTTTATTTTCTGTGTGTATGGGCATGTGTGTGCAGGCACACACATGTTTAGTAAAGCATTCTTCTTGCAAACTGTTCACAAAAGATGCCTCTTGCAATGCGAGAAATACAGATTGAGCTAAAGAGCTCATTTCCTAAGAGCTGTTTACAAGGTATCCCAAGACAGCCTGGTTGGGCATTCCTCTGAGTGCTTTACAAGGAAGTTAAAAGTAGTTTTTTCCCTCATTCCCTTGCTGCCTAGAGAGCTTGCTCCTCATCTAACCCACTGCTGAAATGGAGCCCCTGCAGCTTGACTTCTCCCATCCTCCTCCTCAGTCCCACCCCCAATGCACAGTCTGTTCAGTCCCGAGCTCATCACCACACCTGTCTCTCCTCCATTAGGCTGAGTGGTTGGTATCCAAGGACACCAATGCAAGTACCTTGATACCTCTACCTGCTCTCGTGGCATCTGTCGGAAAACAGGAAAGTACTAAATGTATTTTTAATGACGGATCAAGGCCACAGACAATTAAATTGCTTCCTAATTAGGATCCCAGAAAAGCTATGACACTAAGAAAGAACATCTTTACACATGCTGTCGTTTAATTATTAAACCAAACTATCTTCATCCCAAAGGAAAACAGACAAGTCCATGAAAAACCAGGCTGGGATGATTGTGTTCGGTGTGTATTTGATGGCAACATGCTGGAAGAAGGAATTTGGAGTTTGGGCTGGCTGGTTTAAGTAGCCAAGTTGGGATGTGGGGGAATCAGGAAAAAAACTGAAAAGAGCAGGAATTGGTATTGGCAATATGGATGGCACTGACTGAAAGAGATTTTATGAAAATATCCACAATGCTATTTAAATCGCTTCTCACTGTGGTATTTCACAGGCAGAGCACAAAGCAGAAGCATCCAAAAGACTCTGCACATGGGCTGATCTAGTTTTGAAATTTGGGCCCAAGGTTTTAGCCTCTCTGGGTCTTATTACTGTTAAGAAAAATTAACCAAAACTTGGAAATAAAAGCAACATGTGCTGCATGTAGTTTTCCTGTCACATTAGGTCATGTTTAATAATCTGACCCCCGAATTTTTTAATTTACTGATAATTTTCCTGTGCCTGACTTTGTGATCTGATTAGAGTTCTGACTCTCTGAAGTTGCATGTTAATGTGTGGGTTCCTGTCTGGTAGAAAAGATGATCCCAAAGGTTATGGTTTAATTGCCTCAAAGAATATAAACCACTTTTTAAAGTCTAACCTAAAAACCTAATTCTATACTCCTTTCCTTCTCACAAAATGCCTACGTAAGTAGCCAGTTTCTCAAAATACTTTATTTAAATCAGCTTTACCATCTTACTGGTTCCCTCATTAGTTAATGAGTTGAATAAAACATTCGACATGTATTCATTCTATATTTGTGTGAGTCACATTTTAAAATTTATGAACATCCCTAAAATGAGGATAATAATCCCTAAACTGAAACGTTGGGATGATTAGAGATAATGTATGTGAGAGGCCTACCTGCTCCCTTGGCATGGAGCTGGACCTCAGTATATAATAAATTTGAGAGTACGAATTACTTCATATTCTATGTGTTCTGAGATTTTTTTAAATTATGCTAATTTATTCAAATTTCTCTTGTGGAATTCTTGATCCACAGAAATTGTTTCAGAGTAGCCATAGTTATGTTCAAATTATTTCTGAGCCTTGCAATCTAATGATGACGTTTGGATGACCAATAAAACTCATCAAAGATCATGTATCTTAAATTTCCAGGGTGGAGGAATGGTGTTTCACAATCGTTCTTCCCGATGGACTTCGTCTTGATTAACAGCTTTTCACAGTCAGAGTTCAAAGAGTCCACAGACAACTGAAGAAAACCTCCAAGCCAGGCCAGGGTTCTAGCATCCGGCTTGGGCTCTTCACACACCCTCTTGGGCATCACAGAAGGTCACAGGTTACCAGCTAACACTTCTCTGACCGTGGTTTCATGGTGTGAATAGCATCACACCATGGGCACCTGCTGTTCCCAAAGCCGCCCCGCTAGGAGGCAGTATCAATAGGAGAGGAGTGGACACCAATTAGAGTCATTACCAAATTTTCCCATCTAACTGATGTAGGGACCCAGAATGTCATTTTATCTAGCATAAGAAAAGAGAGCGACATAATGGGAAGGGCTGTGAACTTGAAGCCCTGGAGGATTACAGAATACTTCCTTGGCCCCCACTCTCCTGGTTTATAAAATGATGATGAGAAACTAGGTGGTCTCAGAAGTGTCTTTGAGCTCTAAAATTCTAATGGAGCTAAATCAATGACACTAAGAATCAAACATGATTCAACAGAATTGCACTGTTAGCAAAAGGAGAATGTGCCATATGAAAATGCTCTTATTAGGCGTTTTCACTAGCTTATCACTGTGTGTGCGGAATAGATTCTCACTGCATTCCTGATTAAAGTGGGACAGATGGTGGAGGTTTTAAGTAATGTGTTCATTACCAGACCTCATAGCACTAATGGCTATTTACTGGAGCAGGACCTTGTTCAAGTGAGTAGCAAATGAATTCTTCTCTAGGGGTACCCGCTACTAGGGCGGTATTTATCACCCTTTCTGAGAATGAGCATTTTTTCATTTTTGTTTTCTTTTGGAACTAGGATCTTTTCCCTATTAATACAAAAGGTTTAGGACACACTCCCTATCTGAGAAACTTCCTCCAAGCCTGTCTTCTCATTATCTCCTTAAACCAAGATGGTGCCAAGTTTTAATTCTTTTAATAGTTTTATTTGTTTGTTTACAAATATAAAATATCTTTAAATTAAATATGTTAAAAAAAACACTCCATGCTCCTCCCCTCCATCTCCACTCAGCTCAACCTCACAGAGGTTCCCCAGAGGCTTTACCCCAGAAACCACTGAACTTTGGCATTCTAGAAGGTTACCACATGGCCTAGCTTAGCCATGGGCATCCAGTCTATTACTCTGTCTTCTATAGGCAGAGAACAGTTATGGGTCAACATTAATGGCAAGCTAAGCCATTGCCTCCAAAAAATGCCCTGCCAGTATCTGAGCCACTGACCCTTAATCTTGAATGTGTCCCCCTACATTCAACAGGGGTTTTAGCCTCCCCCAAAAGATCCTTAGGAGAATTAGAGGCAGAAGATGTGGGAGGTTCTGAAGCCCCACACAGTCCAGTTCCACACACTGTAATCTCCACAAACAGTGACTGTGTCCATTCATTCACAAGCTCATTCACCCCAGCTCTGCATAGCACATGGTAGGTGCTCAAATCTACTGAATAAATGGTTGATTAAATACATCCCGGAACTTTGAGACCTAGTATAATAACTCACATATGGTCTGGAATTCCTGGGGTTGTTAGAAAACAGAAATTATCTTCCACTGTCCTTTTGTTAATTTTCAGGCACTAACCAGTGGCCACTAATCTGACCTGGTGTTTACTGGATTTGAGACAGGATGATTGCAAGTTGAAGGTTACATTCCAAACTGGTTGATCAAGTTGTTTGGTTAAACAACCCTATGTGCTTTCCAGAACTGTTTTCCTTTTCTCAATGCAAACATTCATTGTGCTTAGTTTCTAAATGATTTATTATCAAATGGAGTATTCTAACACTATCAAGTACCAAACCAAATATTGCAGCTTTTCCAAAAGAGTGTAATTATAAACTGGCCTGCCTGCATACACCAACTGCTTAAGGACATTCTAGTCCAATGATTCTACTGAAGAATAGCACCCAATACCTAATAGGAGTGTAGCTGTGAGTTGTTATTAGATAACATTAAGTTTAGGCTTATTTAGTTTTTGCGATTTTCTCTTAGGACCTTCATTAAGATTATAAATGCAGTGAGGGGACAGTTGCTGTTATCTTACACTGTGCTGGATTGGCTGGGAGAGAACCCAAATATTAAGTGGACCCTCCTTGGGCGAGGTAGAGAAGGCCTTGGGTCTGTATCAAGGGATAGGTAGATATGCTCAGTGAGGGAGAAAATACTTCACAAAGGAGGGAAAATCTGTAATACAGATAACTGCAAAACAAGAAATGGGCACTGAAGGTCAGTCGTGGCAGAGACCAGCTTAGGACAACTGGGATAACTTGGTCAAGCACAAGCTGCCATTATAGCGTGGACTCCGAATTCAGTTTTTTCCCCCCCTATCTTTTTGTCTCTCTGTCTCTGTGGCTCTCTTTAGTTGAAGATGAACCCATGCTCAGCTGATGGGAGGCTCCAGGGAGGCCCCATTTTTCCTGCCATCCTCTACAATACTCTCAGGTTGGGTGGTCAGTACTCTGGACAGTACAGATCTGCTCTAGACTTGGTGGCTGATTCAATGCAAACTCAAATCTTCTGAACTGTGGAAGGCATTGCTGAGTCTGTGGCTCTCTCCTGACCTGAGTATCTTACTTCCGAGAGTAACTTAACCTCCTTGAGAATCTTACTACTGTTGGGAAAGTTGGTTGAAGACTGTTTTGGTTTCTGTTCTGGTGGTTGTCATTTATTATGTTTATTCCTTCTGCCACTTGTCCGTGTTTGTCTCACTTGACAGTCACAGGTGTGGAAGCTGGTTTCGGTCTGGGTGGTCACACTGCTGCCCAGGGTACCTTCCCTTCTGAGAGCTCTGCTGGTGGGTTCCCTGGGCCCCTGGGTAACAAATGGCTAGATTAATGCTGCCCGGAGGCTGTTAACCAGTCCTTGACATGTTTTATTTACAATTATGTGGATTATTTATTTTAGGAGCTTTTATTTTAAGGGGCCAAATCGCTCTACAGATAAATGAGCTGCTGGGCCACGTAGAAAATATTGTCCAAATGTTGCCAAATATTGACTTTGTAAAGGGGATATCAAGCTGCTGTTTATAAATCTGAATGTCTTAAAAGCATTCTTGCTTGCTCTCTCTGTTATAGATGGTGTCTTAGCCAGTCCTGAGTTTTTCCAATGAATCCAATTTTAATATATGGTATTTTTGTATGCCAAACTGGTGTCTTGTCCTTTGTATATGTGGTAATGTTGATTTTATGACTACTGTTAAAACACATTTGCTATGATTAAAATTCAAAATTATTTCAAAAAAAAAAAGATTATAAATGCAACTAAATTCAGTATCACAAATCTTACATTTTTGGAAAACATTTTAAAACTAATCAAAGTTCCTTCAGTAAAAAATCTGAATACCATTGAAATGTGACGTTTTTGAAGTGACATTTTTTAAAATGCCATAACAAAGAAGACTTGTAAAACATATTGAGGTTGAGAAGAGCAGAAGTAAATCAGGAGATTAAAACAATAAATATAAAACACATCAGGTGGAATTTCCTAGAAGCCAAACCTATGTTCTTATCTACACTGAATACAGTTTCAGAAATGCCAATTTCTTGTTTGTTTTGCTATTAAAAGTTAAAATTCCTTGTTTTGTTTGAATTCTAAATTCTAAGGCATGAATAATTAAATTTATATGTTTATCTTTTGTATGGATTTGGAGTGCCAGCCACTTAAAGTAACACTGCATGAACCGTTTCCCAATTTTTCTTCTATTATTACTCTTTTCCAAATCCGTCTTTGGAAAGTTCTGATTTCCAAAGAATAGATTTTCTTACTGTGAACTCTCTTTCTCCTGGTGTAAATATTAGTTTTTATGTACTCAGAGGGGTCAAGAGTGGCCAGAAATGAAGACTGCTCTCTCTAACACACACAAAAGGCCATGAGGGGTAGCATCTGCCACATTATTATTCTAAGAGGTAGATTCTGTGGTATTTCCATTCACAGCCTGACCTGGTTTCCCATTCTAAGATGTGCATTTGCTAGAAAGAGAAAGTGACAATGGTATCATTACATTATTTGCTAAAGTAAATCCATAGCTATACCACAGATCATATTAAGTGTTAAAGAGAAGAAGCTACCATTATTGAGCACTTCCTAAGATCAGGTATCATAGGAGGAAATTTCATTTCATATTATATTATTTTATTTAACTTAATATCCTATTTTTTCAGTGTTATTGTCTTTCATTTCCCCCCGAGTCCTGTCAGGAAGAAATCCCTTTCATTCTTCAGGGACTTACCTTTTCCATTCTCTCTAGAAGGTTCTCCAATTCTGTGATCTGACTATGTTTCTCTTCAAGTTTTTCAGTGACTTGATTCAGATTTTCAACATGTTGTTTCAATTTCTGTTCTTTTTCAAGCTTATTAACCTTTGGTCAGAAAAATAGTTACCAGATTGTTTTTATTAAACCATACACATAACATGTCCCTCTAGAATTTTCTAACTAGCCACAGAAATGAATAGCTCACACTTGTTTAGAATTATTCTTTTGATCTCAGTGTTTTCTTTGAAATAATCCTGATGAATGCAATACTAAATCAGTAGAGAACAATAATATATAAATATGATCCCTAGAATGTTGACATTTGTTACCATAAAGCCCATCTCCCAAAATGGTATGAGAAAGACACATGCTGATTTAAGAAAAGCAAAATATTTAACTGTTTCTCAACAAACATTATCTAGAATAAAAATAAAAGCTTATATGTTCAATTGAAAGTGTTTCTGTTTAAATCAGGAAGTGTCATAGAAGCAGAATAATTATCCCCAACGTGTCTGGGGTTTTTCCCAGGCGTGCTGCAGGAGGGGAAAGACCACAGAAGAGAAGTCTCTGCTTGGCCTCCCATAGGCCACCCTTGGGAGTGTTTCAACTTGACCTCTACCTGACATGAACATAGATATCTGTTGCAGAACTTGAGATTTCTCAGTAAAAATAAAAGCATTTGTCTGCCCTTAAAAAATCCAGGTGGGCATTCCTGCCGGGCTGCTTGGGGTAAGGCCGATGTCCCATCACAGGGACATGCATGACCTGTCTGCAGGTCCCACTGCTCCAGTGGACCCCTCGCAGGGGCACAAGCCAGCCAGGCCATGTCATTTGCTTATATTCTTCACCCGACCCTGCACACAGGCGAGTTTGTAGCTGTCAGCATCATAGCCTGAAGCAGGAGGAGCATGACCTAAGCAGTAGATTTCCTACTGTGCTCCCAAGGGGACCTTATACCTAAGGCCAGAGCAGGCAGAGACCCAGGCACCTCATCCTGTGTTTTATATTCTGAGTTTCAGTACACACACACACACACACACACACACATGTTCTCTCCTCCAATCCTAGAACATAAATTTCAGACGTTTATCAGTCCTAGCACACGTAACTCTGATTTAAAATAAAAGCAAACAAAAAACTGTGCGTGAGTTTGCATGTGTGCACATTTATTTTTATATCTTTAAGTATATTTGTATGCACACACAACTTATGTTTGTTTTTTCCCTAATCAGAAGAATGTATTCTAAGACCCAAATGATCTTTAATCCATTTATCTGGCCCGAAACCCAAGTCCAGAGAAAAGGAAATGACTCTGTCTGGACCATCTTGTTAGTCAAAGGTGGAGTCAGAAGAGGCACAGGCCAGCCCCGATCTCCTAACAGGATGCCCTGCCTCCTCCCCGTGTGCTGTGCAGGGGGCTCTGGGCAAGAATGACAGGCAACACAGCAGCTCGGCCACATCTGGTGTGGGCTCAGCAGGACTGGGGCAATCGGCACAAAAGGCAGCTCTTCTGCCTCGTCTCTGCCCTTGCCACATCACCGGCTCTGGCTTGTTCCACATCTAACTCCTCCAGAAAGAGGGACTAGACTGGCTCCCATGGACCAGCTGATAGTTGGTACCTGGAGTAATTGTTGACTGTCCTCATGCTTCTTTCTCACGTCTTCAGACTGTGCTTGGTAGTTTTCAAATAATTTCTGGGCCACATTTCTCAGAACTGCTGCTCCTGCTTCTCTGGAGGCTTCCAGCTAGGGAAAAAGGTCATGCTGCATGTTTTGACATTTCCAGTTAAAAGGGTTAGAGGCAGAACATTTTGATGGGCAATTAAAAACAGAGACTTTGACTATAACATTTGCAGCCCCATAGACAATGGATGGGAGAAAAGATTTGATAAAGGAAAACATAAAAGAAGAAACCCCTTGTTTAGTGGGTCAGTGCATGGAGACATATCTGTCCTGGCCACGCCGAAACAGAGCTTTAGGTGCATGCATGGTAGCTTCCCGAAATAGAAGTGGGACAAGCTTGAAGTATGTGGGCAACAAAAATTTAAGGATTGTGAATCTTTCAAAGCTTTAAATAGGGAAATAAAGATGGCTGCAAAGATTATCTACTAAGATATTCACTGCAGGATTGAATAGAAAATAAGACCCCTCAAAGAAAACATAAAGCATTCAATAAAGGATCAGTGAAACCAATAGTGAGACATCTATGAATGCTATAATTAATGTTTATTAAATATGCAAATGCTTTTTAAAATTTATTGTGGAAAGAAACTTAGCTTGAGACTTAGCCTCTTGAATTTGGAAGTGCACAGTACAGCATTGTTAACTATAAGCTCAATCTCTAAAGCAAGCCTTTAGGACTTACTCAACTTTCATAACTGAAACTTTATACCCATTGAACTTCTGTAAGATTTCTTCACTAATAACAGTAAACCAAGTTGAGACCTAATTTGTGAAATAGAGAAATGCTGTACGCATGTGAGCACCCGTGTGGGCCTGTGGATGTGTGTGGATATCACTCAGCTTGCACAAAACAACAGATGTTGACCACCTGTCAGCTCCAAGGCTCAAAATGTGAGATTAGAAATTTCCCCTAATCATCAGACCTTGATTTTCAATACTTCATTCTCCTTGTTCACTTCTAAGAGCTGCAGGTCTTTTCCTCTCAGTTTTTCCATGAGCAAATCCAAGCTGCAACAAGAGGGGTCCACTTCAGAGTCGGAGCCATTTTGAACGTTTCCACAGGGCTGAAATGGACAACATGGAATCACTGAGCTGGCCACTCCTTTCCTCATGAACTCTGACAACAATAGTTATCATTCAGCATTACACAGACCAAACCAGCTGGCCTCTACTTTATTTATTTATGTATTAAAAATAAAAATTTTTTTATTTTGCTTTTTGTACAGGAGATTGAACCCAGGGGCACTTTGCCACTGAGCCACATTCTCAGTCGTTTTTATTTTTTATCTTGAGACTGTGTCTCACTTAGTTGCTGAGGGCCTCACTGAGTTGCTGAGGCTGAGTTCAAATTTGTGACGCTCCTATCGCAGCATCCCAAGTTGCTGGGATTGATTTTAGGTGTGTGCTACCACATTAGGCTAGTCTCTACATTTGCTCAAGTTTGAACAGATTCTTATAATAAATGAGGTAGAACTACATGTCTTTTTCCTTTTATATCTCTTATAGTTTCAAATATACTGTTAAATGCATCTTAGGAGATGAAGAATATCCACAGACCAATTTCTTATCTAAGTCATGGCATAAATATATTTTGGCTGCACTGCATTACACACTAATATAATTGGACCTAATAGGTATGATACATAATATTCAATGTTCAACAATGTTTCATTGTAATTAACTTATATCTCATATTAAATTTCCAGTCAGGGATATCAAAATGGAGTACCACTGCCATTATAATTCTATGTAACTGTAGCTCACTGAAACTACACTTGGAGCATAAATACCATCTGGATTCTTAAACATCTGGAGGTGGAAAGAAAATAGTAAACTTCCAACTTAGCACATCAATTTTCCAAAAACCAAGGACCAGAACCCAAGTTTACATAGCAAGTGAGAGAACTCCCAGTACAACTTCTTGATATCCATCCTGTGCTCTCTTTAAACTTATTTCAAGGCAGATGGAAAAAAAAATATTATACAAATACTCAATTTGCTAAGCACCTACTATGTGCCAGGTCATCTTTTTTATGTTTTCTGTGTACTCCATTGTCATTGTCTGAAGTACTCAAAATGATAGGAGACACTATGATCTTCATACATATGAGGAAATTGAAGATGAAAGTTTAACAAGAGTTATGCATAAAATAACTACCACAACCAGAACTAGAATGTAAGTTTGCTTCGCAACTAAGCCTTTCTTCTTTCCACTACATATGCTGACTGCTTTTGCAAAACTAAAACCCAAAAAGAATACAGTGCAGAAAGATGCAGAAAGATAATACTATCCCTCACCACAACTCTGCCAGATTTGCCTCTTATGGTCCCGACCCTTGTGTGTTCTCTCACTGTCCATATACAGAGTAGAAATCATTTTGTTTTTAAATTTGTTATTGAATATTTGACAGAAAACTGCTGTGGAAGGTAGATTATTGGCATTAAATGATGGCTGCAAAGGACACAGATCAGTGTTTTTCAAACTTTAATGTTTGAGAAGAATGACTTGGTGCGGGATCTGGTTAAAGATGCAGGTCCCAATTCAGGAAGCCTGGGGTGTTGGCTGCAGATATAAAAAGCTCCTGGTGACGCCACTGCCACTGAGACTGAGCCACATCTGAGCAGCAGGACCCGGCACTATAATCGAGCAATCCCTGCAGGGCCAGGTAGCTGATATCTTGGTACTCAGTGGGTCTACTCAGCTTGTGCATTTGACATGGCAGCACGTCATATCATAAGAAGCTACTTCCAACAAACCACCAACAACTCCATGTTGCTATTTACAATGGGCAGTCCTCAATTTCCTTGAGCCTAGACAACAATAGACAGAGCGATCCCTCCAACTTTCTGAAATCGTTTCCTCACTTGCCTGGGAATCTCTTCCAGTTTTAGAACTTTAAGTATCACAAATAGTGCCCCAAATCTCTACCCTGTAACCTGGACCTAGAGCCCAGACTGCTACCCTCAACTGCAGAATCATGTGTCCAGCTGTCTTACTCCTTGAAGACCAGCCAACTCAACGTGGCCAAAACTGATTTTGATATTCCCCATCATCCCCGAACATACATTCCCCCAGGCCCCACTTTCAGAGCCCTTGATTTAAGAAAATAATTGGGGCTAACTGTATCAGCTTAGAAGGCTGAGGATGAGGAAGGGGTTTATATTTACACATCACACCCTCTGTTCTGATGGTGTACTCTGTGGCCATTTTGTATAACAGGTGACAGTGATGAGGTACACTGGCTTAGATGTGGTTAGCCTGGCACAATTCAGATAAAGCTAAGTGCAAATTGTTCCACCTTAGGCACATTAAGTTGGTCCTTAATGGAAGGTGTTGACTTCTAAGATCCTTGCTAACCCTAACATCTTCAACCATGTGTCTACTGATACAGCCCAGGTGAGCCCATAAACTTATATCTTAGTCTGTCATTGGGAAATGCTGCTAAGTTTCTTTCCTTTGCCAACATCTTTCCATGAAAATCAGGTAAGTTAGCTCCCATTAAAATATTCCAACAAGGCCTGGCTATTCCAATGTGAGCTGATTAATGACATGTGTGGGCAAAGATTCCACACATTTGGCCATTAACATCTTTAGATACACATGAAATATTTATTGCTCCTCCTCCAAAGCTTCAAAGAAAAATAATTACCAGAAAATTTACTTAAATAAGGTCAATATGGCTTTTTGCTAATCTTCTGAAAGAATGCAAGTAGTAAATTTTGATAAATTCATTACCTTTGCCTCTAGTTTGTGATTCCTACTGTTATGTCTTACTTCATCTTTAAACATTTGACTTCTGATCTTTTCCAGAGTAGTTCGAATCTAGAGGGAGAAAAGAAAATATATTTTTTGCAAATGCATTTAATGCCAAAAACTCTTAAAAAAAATCTATGCAAGCTATAGAATACCTGATTTTTCTAGAAAGTAACATACATATGCTGATGTCAGATTTATACAGTGGCCATCACCTTAACTTGAATTTAGGCTGAAATGATTTAGATTGCTGAAAATAAACATTTGGCCCTTAAATATCTTTTTCAGACAAACTAAGAACCTGAGAAGCTAAATTAATATTATACTACAAAATACTTATTCAGTAATTAGCACTTAATACTATCTATTTGGTTCTATTTTATCTATATAGTAATTTAGTACTAATTTACTGTTTAGTAATTACTATAAAACAATTACTAAATTAGTAATCACTACAAAATAATTACTATTCAGTCATTACTACAAAATAATTACTACCCAGTAATTACTACAAAATAATTGCTATTAAGTAATTACTACAGAATAATCACAAAAAAGGAATTCATATAAATTTATGTATGAAATATGAGCCCCATGTCGTGATGACCTATGAAATGGCAAGATACTCAAAGATAATTTAATTAGTTGATCTAAACAAGTTATGAACTATCCATATCAGAGTTTATCCATCTGTTCTAAGAAATGATTAATATAAATATCTGTTTCGTTAGCCCTCATCATCTTGGATTCCTGTAAGACCTCACATTTTTAATGATGTGTAGTCATTAGCAGTAGCTGCCCTGAAGTGTGAAGAGGAGCCAGGTAAAGAGAAAGACACTCAGCGGGAAACATAAACATCTACTTGGGAACACAGTACCAGCACTCATGAAACCACTGGGAAAGGTTATAAAACAGTAGGAAATCCAGCAGAGAACAGCATGGGGCAAATTAAGTGCTGATAGGTGTTCTGAATCCTCCTGGCCCATCACTCAATTTTACTGGGGAAAGAAAATCATTTTACTCCAAGTGTCGGATCAGGTTCATATCCTCAAGAGAAATCACTAACCGTGTGTTCACATTTCAGCTGCCAAGACTGTCCTTTGCCAGGCTAGATCTGTTTCTTTTATACTTTCCATGGAAAGGGAAAAACCAAGCCCACCAACCATACTAGAATTTATCCTAAAAAAAAATCATGCGCAGGTGACTGCCAGCACCCAAATACCTTTTTCACATATTCAGTCTCTTCAATAATGTGAGCTGACGTAGATTCATACAAGGCAGAATCCTCCATCTTTTTCTTTGGGGGAACTTCTGTGGTCACTGTTATTGTTGTCATTGTGAATTCTGGCTTTAAGAAAACATAAATGAGCTGAGAAAAACATACTTTCCCAATTATATGGTCATATGATTCTCATACTTATAGGAGGAGTTCACTGTAGTCAAAAGTAGGCAATGCAATCTGTACATGTGGAAAAATAAGAATTCATACCCCATTTGAATCAAATGTATGAAATGTCAAGATCATTGTAATGTTTTGAGCGACTAATAAAAAATGTTTTTAAAAAAGTTGGCAAAGATGGTGAGTCCTTAGAATCTGTAGATATCCATTAAAATTGAATATGGAAGAAATATCATCCAAAGCAAACATAATTAAAATTTTTGAAAAAAAATCTGAAAGAGGAAAATATGAAATTTCTTTTTCTTTAGCATCATCTTAGAATTAGTATTAATCAAGAATAGGGGACATGTGTTATTCATCTTTATTTTCTAGCCTGTTGTTGGTGCTTAAGGAATTTCTGTAGAATTAACAATAGAATTATAGCAAAACCATGTTGTCTTTGCATATATCTTTATATATAGTTTATAAAGTGTATTTATAATTTGTAATAGTGAATGACTGGATTTAAAAAAGACCCAAATGCCCACAGAGATTGATTGGTTAAATTAATCTAATTTATCGTGCAGTTACCTCTAGGATATGTTGTCCAATTAAAGGTATTGTACTGAAAGGAATATTTAGGATCCTACTTTCTGTGAAAAGGTGGGAAATGGTAATGGAAAAGGAAAATTTATCTCTTACACTTTTGATATAGGGCCATATAAATATTTTAAATAACTGTAAAACAGAATTTAAAAAAGAAAAGGCAATCATACAAAATAAAAACAAAATGATAAAATGACTATATCTACATATCAAGTTGATGGCATAGAATTATTTCAAGTGATTCAAAAATACATACCAGTGATGATCTTTGGTGTGCTTTATTTGTTCTAAGAACAAAAAGAACAACTAAAAAAAAATCTTAAACTCTATTCATCAATAATAATGTTAGTGGAAAGTTTGGTATTGCTACTTTGAAAGTGTGTGTGTGTGTGTGTGTGTGTGTGTTCAGGCAAGCTTCAGTGCATACTGTAGAAAAAAGCCAATAAGTAAATGAGTTAATATCATTTAAGAGTCAAGATTCTTTTTTGTCATAACAGAAAAAATAACTCATAGAACCAGAAATGTTAAGTAAAAATCTTACAATGTCACCTAGAATTATGAGTATAAAGCAATGATTTTTTTCCCTTAAAAAATATACATTCTACCTCTATTCACTGAAAATCCTAGAAGCAGTAGCAATTAGCACCCTGGTGGCCATCCTCTGCTCCTTGTGTGTCTTAAATTGCTAAAAAGAAACTCGAGCATCTTGGCTGATCCAGGTTGAGGGCAAGAAATGCATCAAGTAAGTCTGAGATAGTGCATCATCCAGCAAGCAAAAATTTGATAAAACGTTACTTGAATAAGACACAAAAGCCATCCTGAGGAGAAATGACCATGCTGGATGGAAACATCAGAATCCTAAATCCCTAAGTTTATGATGACAGGTGAAATCCCACCAGCAGCAGCCTCCTTGCCCACCTTGGAATTCACTAAGGCTGCAACTCAGTGGAATAAACACCACTATATTACAACCTGGAGGAGGGAAGGAGGGGAAAAAAGAGAGAAAAAAAGGAGTGAGGGAGGGGAAAACAGGAGGAGAAAGGAACCAGCATCTGTCTTGTCTTTACTCTAGGAACTAACTGTATTTCATGGTAGCCAGATAGTTGTTGAGGGAAAGGTTTCTAATGAGTTCACAAGGACTGAGGGAAACCCACCACTTCCAGCCCTCTGTGAAATAATGGATCTGAGCAAACACCATTGACCAAATGAGATCGTGAGGTGGAAGTTCCATGAGGATACATTGACCTGAGAGGCCTTATGCATCAATCTTAACCAAAAAGTGCCATGAATTAAGAGTCCTAAGAGACACAGACCAAATGCAACCTATGAACTGTGCTTGGATCTTGCCTAAAACAAATCAATCGTATAGATACATTTTTGAGACTGACTGAAAAATAGCTGGTTCTAAGGAATCATTTAAACTTTGCCAGCTGTGATAGTGGAAGTATGAGATTCTTTTAGAAGATCTTATATATTAGTGATATATATATCGAAATATTTGCAGGTGAAATGATATGTATTTGGAGCTGTTTTAAAACAGCAAGCAGGGGGGCTGGAGTTGTAGCTCAGCGGTAGAATGCTTGCCTTGTATGTGTGAGGCACTGCGTTCAATTTCCAGCACCACATACAAATAAAGAAATAAAATAAAGGTCCATCGACACTAACTAACTAACTAAATAAATAGCAGGGAGGAACAATGGTGTTGGAATAGAGATGAAAGAAGTTAAGCAAAATATAGGTAATTGTTGATGCTGGATGTTGAGCAAATGGGGCTCATTATACTCTATTTTGGTTTTGCTTTAAATTTCTACAAAAAATAATAAGGAACTAAAAAATAAACTGTAATAAAAAGTGCTGCAAAATAGAATTATTAAACCCATTTTCTGGATAATGAAATCAAGATTCCCATAGTAATATGAACTTACCCAACATACAGTAAATCCAGCGGAGCTAAAAGTCAAACCTTGGACTTTTTGAGACTAAGTTCAGGAGTGTTTCCATCCCATTAAGTCTGGCTTCCCTAGAGAAAAACAACAACAACCAACAAACAGCAAGATGTTTAAAATCGAGCAATGGCCTCTGCTACTAAAAGACAAAGAATTTTCACATTGGCCTATATCACTTTGAAATAAAATAGCCTCTGGGGATACCCAAAAGCCCTGCATTTATCCTCTAATCTTCAAAGAAATTGACAATGCATGCCAAGAATTTTCCATTTTATTATAAATCCTCTTAGACAGCCCCCAGGGCTTCAATTTGCTTTGGCTGAAGTTGAGTGGGCAGCAGTGACTCTGCAGGTCAACTTGCAAAGACCACAAGTGGAAATGCTTCTCTGACTCAGTCCTCTCCAGTCCAGGATTCAAGACGGGGTCTGAAACAACATTTAAATCTCAAAATCTTAGAGACAATAAGCCATGTGCTCAGAAACCAAAGGGAGGGTGGTCAGGCCAGGGTAGGGATTGGTAAACCATACCTGAGACCCCAAACTATCCCCTACCTGCTTGTGTAGTCTGCGAGCTGAGAGTGGTTCTTACGTTTTTAATGATTCAAACTAAAAATTCAAAAGACTTACATTCCATGACACGTGGAAATTATATGAAGATCAAACTTCGTGTCTACAAGTGAAGGTTTGTTCTAAGGCAACCCTGCATTGGTTTGCATTTGGGCCATGCTGCTTTGGTTTTGCATTTGGGGATGAGTATGTGCAACAGAGGACTTTCATGGCAAGTCAAATCTGAAATAGTCACTATCTAGTCCTTTCCAAGAAAAGTGTGCTGACTCTGGGAATAGCAGGGGGTGGAAGCAAGATGGGAGAACTAGAAACTATCTGGCCTGGATCAAGGTTTTCCTCCACTTCAATCTCCCTGGATCTATAATCCCACTTGACTGATTTGCTTTCATTTTTCTTTTTGTCAGTTATGCATTGTGAAAATTGACAAATGAGCAGAGGTACTTCATCACGGGGCACCATCTCTCTGTAGAAAGGATCTGGCTACATTCCCAATCTTCATAATTGGACTTCATCTCGGGCCAAATGCCATGTATACACAAAGATACTCTCACCCATTCCTTTTATTGTTAATATCAAAGAATTCTGCTCCTTGACGCCTGATATTTCTCAAAAATACCACCTTTTCCACTCCCTGGCTAAAAGGGTTGCCTACAACCTCAGCCTTAACTTACACATCTGTAACGTAGAGGAAAACACCTAGGGTTGTGAACATGGGTTGCTATTTAATGTCTGATGGTAAAGGTACTCAAAGGTTAATAAATATCAATATTGCTGCAATTCTTATTTTATGCTATTGATCATCACAAAAGACAATCGGCCCATAACAGAGGAGGCAGTTCACACCTCTTTGGTCACAAAGCTTTCCACCCAGCTATATCCATACGAAGTTAAACTCCATTTCTCTCTTTGGTTGAGAAAACTTTTGTGCCCACAGTCTCTGCTTTGTTTAAAGAAACCCAAGGGGGAACATGAGCCATCCGAGTCCAAATCGCCATATGGCATTACCATCCTGGGGAAAATCCATGTTAGCATTTTATTTCAGCCAGAAGTAGATTAGGCAGATAAAATTTTCAAAATAAAACACAATCAGTTAATTAAAGTGAGGAAAGACTTTATTTGTTTTATGCTAGAATGGATTGAGACGGCTTATGAGCGGCGTCATGCCAAGGGGAGTGCTTTCCTAGATGAAGGCTTTTCAAAGGGACTCGCAGGGAGGAGAGGGGTTGCTAAGGAGAAAGGGCTCTGTTCCCTTAACTTCAACCAAGGCAGCTCGGCTTTGTCCATCATATACTGAATTTTTCCACAAGGCTTTCTGTGAAGAAAGAACATTCAACAGCTAAAAGGTTTATAGGCAGCCTGCCCAGTTTCATGGCCTGATTCTGCTACCCAATAGCTGTGTCACTTGGGCAAGTTCCTTAACCTCTCTGTGCTTCAGTCTCATTAACAGTAAGATTCAGATAATATTAATTATTAACAATAATAATCAACATGGGGTTGTGTGTGAGTTAATATTTGTCAAGCACTTAGCACATATAATACATAATAAATGATCTGCACATGTTTGTCAAATGAGTAAATAAAATATGAGACCATTATCCATAATTAAGGTTGACAAGCAGTTTTTCTTCCCTGTAGGGAAGAAAAACAGGTAATATTTTAAATAGTCTCTACACTGAGATGGGCTATAAAGAAAAATTTGCTTTGGGGGATTTTAAGACCAGCAAATCCATGATACTGATTCTTTATTGCTAATGCATCGATAATTTGTCAACATCCCAACCAACGATGCTAGCATCTAATGAATAGTTTACAACTTACAAAGCAAAGCACATACATTACTGTG